CCAGTCGGTCCTTAGAAACCCTATACAGGGTCGCTATGAGTTGGAACTGACTTGATGGCGCTTAACAACAACAGGGAAAGAAAGGAGAACAAAAAATACAAGACAGAAGATGTGTGAAATTATCTAGGATGCATATCCTTGCTGAGTAATTCCTCCTATTTTCTATTATCTTGTATGAAATTTTGATGGAAATGAATAAAGTTGAGTAGATTATAGTATAGATTAGATTTGTAGTTCATATTCATAGTAAAAGAAAACAGACTTTCAAAGTTGACAGTCACAACATAACTGTTTAACATTTTAGTTAATTAAATGTTTGTTTTTATTGAAAATTTAAAACCATTGACCCCTGTTCAGCAGTAGGGTGCAGAAGTAGAAGGTTCCAATGCCAAGTTCATTCTTCACAGAAAAGAGAAGAGTAAATCTGGAGCACCAGTAGAAGAGACATAAAATCATACATCTGAAAAATGAAACAAATGAGAGAGCTATTGAATCGAGTAACTAAAACTTGTCTCAAAATTGTAAGGAATAGGGAGAAAATGCTGGCCTCACAGTTTAGCATTTTCCTGGTTATCATTTGTAAGATGAGTTACTAAAACACAAAAACCATCTGGCGAGATTTTACATAATTCAGAATAAAACACAAGGATATTCTGATGTAGCAGGTCATCTTTCCAATAGTTGCCTAGATCTCAAAGATTACAAGGTAACTCACCATCTCTTATATACCGGTGAGTTTTTGAATAATGGGACAACTCTCATTTCCTTCCCATAAATTTCTAAATCCAAACTATTGGAGAATTAAATAAAACCTGTGATTATCACTTCTCTGAAATGTATATAACTTTATACTCTTCACATCCTTTTTCTGAAGTTTCTATTCCTGAAGTTGTATATTGGGTATTAAAATCTTCTCCCTCCACATTCAAAACTACCTTGGAGCAACCACTATGTGGTTCTATTCTTGTCAAATGACTTTGAAAGTTAATGAAAATTTAGTGACGAACTGAAAACAAATGATGTAAAGAGAAGGTGAATAAAATGAAGATTCATAGAGAAAGTTGTTTGATATGAGATACTTAGACAAACATACGCTGATTTAGAGAGTGACACCTAAGTATTCCCTTTGCAAAGGACATTTTACTCTTAATTCATTGAGATAGCCTGTTCATTAAATAATGAAAACAGAACATAATTTGGCCCTTAGCTCCACAAATACAGGTGTTTTATGACAGACTTGCTGGACAGGACAGGCCTTGAATAGCTCTCAGTCCAATCACCTAATCTATGTTTCAATTTTCATTGTCATATTTTTTCTAATGGGCTATTCCAGCTGCTAAAATATAATAAGAACACTTGCAATTTTCAAAAAATAGTATTTAAAAGTTGATCACTGCATTTCTGTTGTTAAAGTAAAGCAATGAGATGAGTTTTTGGAATTCTGTGGGTGTGTGTGGTTTTTTGTTTTTTTTCAATAAAAAGGAGAGGGGTGTTTGTGTGTAGGTGATGCAAAAAAATTTCTGGTGCAAACTATCTTTCCATATAGGACCAGTGACTTTAACACAATTGTGACTACTGATTTACTAATGTGATTTATAAATGAATGTAATTTTAGTTAATATCTTTCTACTGCATTTTCTCTATCCCTTTTCTTCCAGCTGTTATCACAATTGGTATCATGAAAATGATTATGACAAATGTAACTACAATGAATGGATTCTTCCTCATGGGGTTTTCTGAAATTCGGGAGTTACAGGTTTTACATGCTCTGCTGTTCTTGGTGTTGTATCTATTGGCTTTGACAGGTAACCTCATCATTATCATCATCACCACAGTGGACCAGCATCTCCAAGCCCCAATGTATTACTTCTTAAAGCACCTTTCCCTTCTGGACCTCTCTTTTATTTCTGTCACAGTTCCCCAGTTCATTGACATTTCTCTCATAAATGATGGCTATATTTCTCATGAACAGTGCGTACTCCAGGTTTTCTTCTTCACAGCGCTGGCTTGGGCTGAGGTGGCCATTCTCACAGTGATGTCATATGACCGCTATGCAGCCATCTGCTTCCCACTGCACTATGAGGTCATCATGAATCCTAGTAAGTGCCAGTGGGCTGTGATAGCTGTATGGCTAAGTGGAAGCATCTCTGGAATCTTGTACACATCAGCCACATTCTCCATTACATTCTGTAAACCCAAAATAATTCACCAGTTCTTCTGTGACATCCCCCAGTTGCTAAAGCTCTCCTGCTCCAATGATTACCTTGGAGTGATTGGAGTGGCAGCTTTCATGTCTGTGATGGCTTTGATCTGCTTCACTTCTATTGTCATCTCCTATATCCACATCTTCTCCACAGTACTAAGAATGCCCTCTGCTGAGGGCAGATCCAAGGCCTTCTCTACCTGCCTGCCCCATCTCTTTGTTGTCTCCTTTTTCCTCTCCACAGGAACATTTGAATTTCTAAGAACAACTTCAGATTCTCCAACTGCTTTTGACCTTATGATCTCTATCTTTTATACAGTTATTCCCCCATCACTCAACCCTATTATCTACAGTCTGAGAAATGAGGCCATGAAGGAAGCTTGCAGAAAGTTACTATTGGGTGGACAATTCACCAGGAAAAAAGCTTTTTTGTCCAGTTGTTGATGGCTCTTTTATATTCTATATAGCAAATGTTAAATAATATTGAATTCCTTTAATATGTGATACAGAGGAAAAGCAGCAAAAATGTTCCCCCTTTAGTTTAATTATACAATATAACCATTGTCATTAGGGTAACTCTTCCTATAATTCCTATACTTTTTAATAATTGAAACATTTGTTCATTCATTCAAATTAAGAGATAATAAACAATTATAGTATTTTAATATAGTTTTGCTACTTCGTTGGAGTTCTGGTGTGGCACTGTGGATTAATGTGCCAGACTTCAAAGCATTTGAACTGCAAGGTCAGTAGTTCAAGCTCACCATCGCTCCTTAGAAACCCTATGCAGGGTCGCTATGGGTCGGAACCGACTCTATGGCACTTAACAACAATAACTTCCTTACCATTTCAATAAATAAAGGCAGAAAAATATACAGAAGCATACCAGTAAATATTAGTGCACTTTATTATTATTATTATTATTCTAAATAGCCTATATTAC